TACTACTACCTACTACTACCTACTACTACCTACTACTACCTACTACTTCTACTACTACTACTACTACTACTATTACCTACTACTACTACTTTTTCTACTACTACTACTACTAGTACTATTTCTACTACTATTTCTACTACTACCACCACTACTACTAGTACTACTTCTACGACGACGACGACTACTACTACTACTTCTACTACTACTACTACTTCTACTACGACTACTACTACTACTACTACTATTCCTGCTCCTGCTTTGGGGGGGTGGCTTTGCCACAAAACTCTACCCCGCAAAAGGCGAAAGTTTGGCGAAAGTTCAGCTCAAGATTGGCGAAAGTTCACCCTGCCACATCTGACCCCCAGCCCATTATGAGTAAGTTTGAACGACCAGCTACTACAGTGGTTCTTCCATTTTTGATTCTTGCTGACACCCAGGAGAAACAAAAGAGACGTACAGGGTGTCAACAGTTAAGTAGAAGACACATGCTGACAAACAGTGAAGTTTTTATTTTGTGTTTGCCAGTAAAGAAGAAGCCATTGACGTGAACAAAACACAACAGACATGGCACACATAAATACAACATACTTCGGCGAAAGATAAAACGCAGGAAGGCGAAAGTTTGGCAAAAGTATTTTTTTTGCGAAAATGACGGATCCCGGATAAAGGAATTTAGATCAACTCCCATTTATGTATTTATTTCTGTCCATATCTATCTCATCTAATCTAACCTAACCTAATCTAATCTGTCTATCTATCTATCTTTTAGTCCTGGGTTGACACTAGCTAGCACTCCGGACGGTGGTTTGATGTTAAAGTGCTGGTCAACTGTAGTGTTGGTTTTAATCCTTTTGACTGCGAATTTGGGCAGACTTTTGTTTATTTGACATCATCCTTTTCATCACCGAAAGGATGTTTCTTTCACTACCAGCTTTGGAGAGGCAACGTGTTTTCCGAGACCTGATCGTGTTCAATTTCCGTTCTTTGATGTTGTGGCAAAAATGCATTTCCCTGACTTCGCGTCGATGCTCGTGGATGCTGAGGCCTCTTCAAGAGCAAAGCAATGGGCGCTATTGGGTCTTGGCGAGATCTCTGTTCGGCTTGTAGCATCTCACCGGCTTTGGCCAGATCGTTTTCGACGAAGAAAGACTTCAGGGTGGACCTGAGGACCGACCAAAAACTCGTCAATCACAACTAGTCAATCACATTGGTTGGACGTTATCGCAACATCTCAAACGCGTGATGACAACATCGGACGGACTTTATGGGGACCCGATGACCGGCAACCCGATGACCTCAAACTATTTCAATGACCTGACGATGTCCTTTTACTTGATTAACCCTCCATGATATTCGGACTAGAAAATGGGAGGGGTTGACGTCTATAGAAACGGGCATTCTTTAGTCTCAAGGATGTAAACTCACGGGAAGGGGTCAGGTAATAATGCATTATCTAGTGACCTGTAGGTCACTAGAAAATGAGAAACACAGGTCTCATAGGCATGCTGGCAGGGTCATTTTCTAGACATCACCTTGTTTTCTTGATCCCACCTGCATCCTCATTTTCTAGTGAGGTTCCTCTTTTCTGGCAAACATGATGAACCGTGATGAGTCAAGACGAGTTTAAGTAAAACATAACAAACAAGAACCATATTTGGAAATACTCAAGATCTAGAAACATAAAGTTCAATATAAAGATATAGAGACATAAATTCAAGATCTAGAAACAAAAACATGAAACATAAAATGAGGAGGTGCCACCTAAAGCCCTAGAACCTTCATGTTCTAGTGACTTTGCTCTGGCTGTCCCTTGGGTACCCTATTTTTCATTATCTTTCCATTTCTGGCACTCCTGGTCGAGACACCGAAGCCACTAGAAAATGAGGAGATGCTGATGCCGCCTAAAACCCTAGAACCTTCATTTTCTAGTGAATGTTGTCCTTGGGTATCCTATCTGTCCATTTCTGGCACTCTTGGTGGCGACACCAAAGCCACTTGAAAATGAAGGCGCCACCTAAAACCCTAGAACCTTCATTTTCTAGTGACTTTGGTCTGGCTGTCCCTAGGGCACCCTATGTTTCCATTTCTGGCACTTTTGGTCGAGACACCAAAGCCACTTGATTCGCCGGATCGTGGCGGTGTTTCCGGGGTGTTGTAGTTGTTCAATACACTTAGCTTTTGTATGCTTTTGTTTGCTGTTGGGACTCCTCACAGCACGTAGAAGCAGGATCCGCTAGAAAATGGCAAACGTCTGACCAAACCGAAGATGCGCCAAACATGGGCTAAATGGCTGCGCTTGCAAATTCTTGCAATTTTCTAATGATTTCTAGAGAATGCCAAACACTGCCTCATGAGGCTGCGTTCCTCATTTCCTAGGGAGCTGACATTCATCATTTTGCAGGAAATCACTAAAGAATGAGCAGGACTGACCCCTCCATGTGATTTTCATGGGGAACTTGAGGTCTATATAGACGGGACAACCCCAAGTGAACCAGCAATAGGCTACGCCGGCTACGCGGCTACTAAATCGACCCCTCTATTCCCAAAAGGACATCGTTCCCCAAAGAAAGCTGCGGCGACGCAGTGATCGATACAGCACACAGCACGAATCGAAGCGAACTTCGAACAATTTTTTTCGTCTCGACTCACAAAGTCTGAGTTTTCTCACAAAGTGCAGCGATGTTTTTGGACAAAAGTTACTCTTTCGCTGCGCCGCTTGACCTTCCTAGCTTAAATTCATGACTGACACCACTCATGACCCACATTCTTGGCTAACAAGTTGGTACTCGTACAACCCTGACGTTTTGCACATGTCGGTGTTGAGGGCACCTGCAAGATGCTGGGCCTGGTAAACCAGGCGCTGTGCATACATGGAAAAATATGGGGGGCACCGAATGATGCCATTCTATGCCATCCACGAGTTTTTTGATAAACAATGTGTGACTTGTCGAAACCAACTCCCAAACAAGATCAGGCAGTATCACCTTGTTATCACCTTGTTATCCAGTGTCATCTCTTTATCCCGATGATGCCCCATGGCTTAATTGCATACAGCTCCACGAGGCTCCACGCGTTCCCTGACGCCAGGAATCCCGAAAGCTGCGGACGGCGCTCTGGCGTCATTTGGATCCCGACGGGGTGCGAGCGCCCGCGGTGCGGCGAGCGCCCGGTGCAGGTCGGTGGGTTCTTTGGAATGCCAGCTATAGTTGAGGGTGTGATTGAAGGGTGTTAGGGATCTACCACCTAAGACCTACAGATTTGTTTTTGGATACGTTGTTTGTTTTTGTTGATGCGGGTAGTGGTCTCGCAAGCATTGTTTATTGAATAGTTGCGCCAGCAAGATTGGAGGGACAAATTACTGTCATGGTTGCAGCAACTGCACTTCCCCTGCTTCAGGATTTTCCTGCATTGAATAAATTTCGCTCACTTGTTTCTGTACAGCTCAGTATTTGCGTTCTTTGTGCCAACTTCGGTTCACCTGTTTCAGCTCGAGCTAGGACTAGGATACAGCTTTTGTATGCCAAGGTGTTTTCAGGGTCGGTTTCTTCGAAATGATTTGTTGTTGTTTTTTAGCTTGCAAGGCTTGGATGAATTGGCGCATTATCATAATTTATGTTTTCTTCCAAACCATACCACTTCCTTGAATTGCCCTGTCTTGATTGGTCGTTGCACTGGTTTTCCGCTGCTGTATGGACTGTAGCGCATCCTCCGCACTCTCGGCCGCAAGCGGGCTCGAGTGTGGTAAAAAGCTGCACGAGACTCCAGCACGTTCTTCAGTTCTTTCAAGAACGTCCACATACTTCTTCAGAAACTCCTTGTGTATTCCACTGCCGAATCCTGAAGATCCTTAGGCGAAATGATCGATCCATTCATTTTGCCTACAAGGCCTCCAGCATCTTCCGGCGATGTCTTGAGAGTCAGGGGTGATTTGTTCGTTTCAGCAATTCTTTGATTATAGCACACACCTTTGGGTCATGGCGCCCATTTTATCCAAGGCAGGGGACGTGTAGCGATGCAGAAAACACACGTGCATGCACCGGATTCTCATTGGATGGGTGGCTGGGCGTAGGAAGCTCGCCAAGTGGAGAGGAACAAACCTGGTTCTTGTTTGGGATGAAAAACTCCACCTGAAGTCCCAAGGACTCCACCTGAAGTCCGCAGGTAGATTGAGATCACCAGAAACTGTTTGTTTTTCACGGTCGGACTTCGGAAGGATGGGAGCAGACTTTCAGGGACACCCTGGGTAGCACTGACCTCGACAGATGGGAGCAGAAGACCCCTGATTGAGACGTGCTAGACTTATTTTACTGCTTGGAACAAATGTGAAAAAGGGGCCAGGAGCGGCTGCCAGATCCTCCCGGGCCAGGAGCGGCTGCCCCCCAAGATGAGACCAGAAGATGCGGCCAAGGTCGTGGCGCAGAAGGTGTGGATGGGTTCTGGGACGGTACAAGAAGCTGGCGTTTTGGATTGAAGCATCCTAGTTGTTGAAAGAAGACATAAGGTGCACCCTTGTAGATGAGCATTGTCGCTTGCTTACAAAGAATTGGTGCAGTTCTGTGCAGAACTCAAGAGTATGTTCTGGGTTGATCAGACTTCCCAAACCAGTACTGTAGCTTCCAGTATTTGCAGCTTTCGACTCCACTGCGTCCGCTCGCGGAGGGAATCCCTCCGCACGCAACCGCCGCACGCAACCGCCACCCATGAGGCTCGGCCCTTCCTGGATAGCTTCTTAAAGCTTGTGGAGGCGAACGTCGAGGGCGAGCGAGTTCCCACATGTGGTGGTTCACAGATGTCTTTTCGATGTTTGACGCACAATCAGAGACCTGGTGAAAGCCCCGAGTTGAAAGATCCACGCTGTCAGACGGACCTACGGAGGCTCGAAAAGAAGTTTTGACATGTTTGTGGAGTCGATGATAGTCGAGGTATGTGTTCATTGTTTTTCCAGTATGTGTCGATTGGACGCGGAAATTTATGTTAATCCCTGCAACTTGAGCGATTTCTCAGAGACTTTGAATTGGAACCCAGACGAAAGTAGAAGTAGAAGAAGTAGAAGATCTGGCCCAAGGAAAAGAGCAAGGACGCTATGCTCGGTGGAGGCCATCGCAAGTAGGTTGGAGGCCATCACTACTAGGAGCAAGAAGCTACTAGCTAGAATCAAAATAGTTGTAGGAGTTTTGCCACGCTAAACAGGCAGTCCTGGTGTTTGCGGTGTTGCCAACCATGTTTTGCAAAACATGTGCGGTGAAAGCACCACACTGTGTTTGGCCAACCTAGAGCCATAGAGCTGCGCGTTGCTGAACCACCATTCTGTAGCAAGAGGAGCTACATGAATGGGCGGGTGCAACAGCAAGAAACACCTCAGAAAATGATCAGGTTGTTCTTCCAAAGATCGTCGTTATCTTTGAAGATGTATTTTAGACCTTTGGCTGTGGGCCATGGTGCGGTCGCGGCTTGAGCACCGGAATGAAAAAGCAGGTTTCACGCAGACTACGAGACATGATCAATCCACAAGGGAACTTTGGGTTCCAGGTTTTGACCCACAAGCCATTTCAGAAACACCGGCTGTGGGCGGAGCAACACGCCAGGTCTCCATCCAGACTGGTGGTGTGGTGAGAAAGCTCAGACTTTGATGATCTCTCCGATTGGCTTTTTACTGCTCACTGGTCGTATGCACACATTAGTCCTTTATAAGCAGATAAAGGACTGAACTGTTTCCGTTCTTGATCCCACGGCGCCATGGGGATGCCCCAATGGCATGGTTTAGTTTCCACTTATTTTCTTTGAATGCAGAGGAAAGATTGTAACAAAGAACATGTGGTGAGACCGAGGCTTTTGAATGATTCACCGGTCGACCTTTCAGAGAGCTGCAGCAGCAAATACTGCCATCATTTCAAGAGCTGCAGCAATCCTGAGCTGAACTGAGGTCCTGTCTCAAGAGCAGGTTCTATATTTGACCGTCGAAAGACCCCCCCCAAACTGGACAGGGGGAAAAACGTATCCCCATGACCAGTTTGAATAGGTTCTGTTCAGTGCTCTTCCAGATCAGATTCACCATGATTCACTTGCTCGTGAGCAGGATTGAGATCTCAAGGGGATTTTGGTTTCGATGTGTTCCTTTAACAAACGGGTACGGGAAAAGTTGTGGTTCGGATCTCCGCTCGTGACCATCTCCGCTCGATCGATCACTTCTTAAGTTGGATAAGTGGTGCACGGTGGATCAATCAGGTGGTGGATGAAGCGAAACTGATGGCGAGCAACCTCGGCAGCCTCGCTTGGGCCCGAAGAGCAGAGTGACTTCTGAAGAATCAATGAAGTTTGTCAAGCCAAAAGAACGAAAACATGATTGAACGCATCCTTGCATATCCTTGCATCTGCCTTTTCCACAAGACAAGAAGAAACAAACATGTTTGCTCATGTGATCTTGCGGCATTTGACGACCACCCAAGTGGACCGCACCCCAGGTGGACAAGTGCATGCACGGTAGTGCAAAGCTTCTGCAGGCACTGGTATTCGCATTCTTGGAAGGTGTTGGCGGGATGTATCCACATATATAAATATTATGAAAGCCAGCCAACAGGCTAGGCTGAAGTTGTTCCTGCGAACGAAGTGAGGGTGGGGTTAATGCTCTTTCGCAGGGTCTACTTTGGATAGTTAGCGAAGTTGCTGCTGCATCCTTTGCATCACCAAGTTGTATGGGGCTAATTACTTCCAAGATCAACAAGACCAATATTGAGAAAGGAAGGACTTTCATTATGCTTTCTTTTGCTTTCATTCTGCTTCATGTGTTTTCATGTTGCTTTCATTTGCTTTCATCTGACAGAGACACCGTCGACTGGTTCCACAAGCATGCAAGTGAACCAGTGGTCTTCTTGATGCTTGATTTCTGAATATGCTAACAAAACCCAAGCGCCATGAAGGGGCCACGTCGACTGGTTCAACAAGCGAACAGTTGAACTAGTGGTTTTGTTGCTGCTTGATTTCTGAGTAGGCTAACAAAGTCTGTCCAGACCATATAATCGAAGAACTCCCAGAAAGTGCAGGATTTCTTGGCGGTCGAGAATCCACAGCAAATTCTGTACATGTCATGCTGGTTCTAAAATGTGCTGGCTTTCGTGCAAAACTTGGCAGTTGAAATGCGGTAAGTGCAGATAAGATGATAGCATCTGATGGGGCTCGCTTCCGTGGAGGCAGAGCTGCGAGGTTCCTAGTGTACAGTGACATCTTTTGAAAGTTCGTGTGTTTGATCATGTGACAGGGACGTGGTCCAAATCAGTGCCCAAGTCAAAAGGGTCCCTGGGTTTTTGAGCACTACACTGCCTACTGCCTGGCCTGGTGAAGTGCCATCTCAGAGTCGCAACATTGGCATTTCATTGCATTTTCTATGGGTCAGGATTTGAGGTGCATCGTTGCTTGATTCTCGCGGGTAAACAGATGTCAAACCTAAATCACAAAGCATTTTCAAGTAGTATACTACACTGTGCATGTTCTGGATGCACTTGAGGGAGTGCTTGGGCTGCATCGGCACCCGTTCTGCTGGATCACCCTGGCAAGGAAGCTCCTTACAAGATCTTACACGTGGTATTTCAAGTGACAGAGGATAAAACTATATAAAACTATTGGACAATTGAAACTAGTATATCAACATCATGGCATACCCATCCATTAACACGGTGCATTGTGGGATACTTCGATGTGGAACGTGTGTGGAATCACGACGGGTCCACTTCCTTTTCGGGCCAGGCCTTGTGTTGTATCGACCTGGAAAAGTTCACAAGAGGTCCAGAGATTCTTGGCCACTGGAAACATGCGTGTTTTGTGTTGTTCTTTGTTTGGTGTTGGTGTGTTTTGCGGGGGCAAGCGGCATATTTGGGCGGAGGCTTTGGCAAGGTAGACCATTGCAGACCCACTTGCTCCTGCTTGAAACAAATTGTACTTGAACCGAACAGATCACCGATTGTGTACATTCTTGGGACTTTGCAAGCCCTTGGATGTGACCTTGGTTTGAGATTGGACATGTGCATGCTCAATTGAATTGTAACCATGAACAGTAAGAATGCATAAAGTAAGAAAAACAGCTCCGAATCTGGTCTTGAAGTGTTAACTCCTTCGCTATTCGCTGCCCAGGAAGCCAGCGCTTCAAAGCCAGCTGCCGGTGATCTTCGTCTTAGGGTTTCTTGTCTCAAATTGGTTGGGTCGGTAAACAAGAATTTGAACAGGCTTTCTGCGGGGAGGTTGGATGAATGTGTGAGTCTTAAGGTAGGGAAGCACACTCAGTTCGTCACCCAGCAAAAAAGTCCCCAGAACTTCCAATGACTTCATTTTACCCCACCTGGAAGTCAACATCCACCACTACCACAAGGCAATGACTGGAGTCAGCATCCTGGATTCGGAATCCGCCCAGTGGAGCCCAAGAGCCGTGGAAACAGCGCCGAGGCTGCTGGCCATGCTGTACAGCGCCTTCGTGTTCGCTTACATGCCTGCAGCCGGCCTCTCGCTGAACAGCAGGGATGCCAAGACGACAAAGGCCCCCCAAAACGGCGGACGGTGCAACTGTGTGGAGGTGTGCTGACAACTCTTGGACTCTGCGGGCATCCAATTCGTCGTAGCACGTTGAGTGACTTTATTCGTGCCATCGTTTCAACGTTTTTGTGATGACTTTTGTAAATTGGTTTCCTATTTATATATATATACTAACTGCACAACTGGCAAGTCTTCATACGCAAAATTCACACTTTTCACAATTCCATACAAAGCCATGTCGCGCCTAGCACGTAGTGTGTGTAGAGATCTCTCTACGATAATAGATTCAATAGATATTCCTGTTGTTTGGTTTGCGACGTTCAAATCTCAAAAAGGTCGTCGGTCGTTCTTCTCGTGGATCGACTGTCGTCGTTTCCGACAATGTGTCGCCCCGGACAATTCCTGCACACTTGGCTGGAATGCGGACCATGTTTTGATCGAGAGCCTGATCAAATCGACTCGAAAGGAATTGAAAGGACTGCATTCCCGGTGTTCGAGTTGTCAGATTCAGGGCTCAGACATGGCTAAAACATGCTAAAACTTAGTTTATTCCGATCACCTTACTGCAATTACTAAAGGATCCCAAAAGCAAACCATTGTGACCAACCCCCATTGAACAGGCCATCCCATTCAAAGAACCAAGCAACTCAGTATAACCCAGTGCATCCCATGCAACACCGAGTCATGAGCACACCGTCCAGGTACAGAGAGCTTGCTTTTCCACGCCTTCGTCTTCTTGACGCTGGCCAGCTTTGCACAGGCCCGACACCCGAGTGGAACCTGGCCCCCCCCGCTGACCGACGCTAGAACAGCGGCCACAACGGGGCCAGCGATCCAACACGGGCACCGGCGGCCGATGCGAGAAGCCATCAAAGGCTATCCGTGTGTATTGAGAGTAGTGAAGATTCGTTATTTGTTGTTAGATATATACAAATGACTTATATAACAGTACAACTAATATTAGTTATGTTATTTTATATTATGTTTTATATGTATATATATTGTTTATGATATGTTATTTTCTAGAATATGTTCTTGAGTCGCCCAGCCCGGAGCTGCAATAGCCATTCTGCAACATGTAAGAGGCTTTTCAGATCTTTGCCAAGCCCAAGCCCCGTAAAACCTGGAAGACAAACACTTTACTGTTTCGATTGTGCACTTCAAGAAAGCTCGGTGAAAAGAGGCTGCAAGGCTTGAGGGCCCGATGGCCTCCACCCTAAGAAGAGCGATGGCCTCCAACCTAAGAGCGATGGTCTCTTGTTGCTTATCCCAAAACTTAGATCGGGGATTTGTTGTATCGTAAGTAGATCAAGTTGACTATTTCCAGACGCAGCGTGACCCGGATCTACTTAACGAGCTTAACGGCCCCTTAAGTGTCTTTGTGCAGTTCACAGCAATAACTTTGACTTCAGAAGGGTCATTGGGATTTGAATTCAATGACAAGACCATCAAAATCCCCGCTAGTGTGTGCTCCATGACCTATCTAAAGCGTACTCAGTCGATCAAACCATTCTCACACATTCTCACCAAGTCTCGACTTGCTACTAGGGGCTCCTGGCCTTACTACTAGGAGCAAGGACGCTACTAGTAGCTCGTGGCCATACTACTAGGAACAAGAAGCTACTAGGGGCTCCTGGCCTTACTACTGTCCATGCACAAACCACCCGACTTCGCTACCGCCGAGGCCGCGCGCACCGACCCGGGCGACGTGCCAGCGGTCCCGAGTGGCGTGACCGCGATCAGCCACCCAGGTGGCCCTGACACCCCGGAGGAATGGGAGGAGATGAAACGGTGGGTTTCTGGGTGGGATCGAACGGAAAGACTCGGAGGTTTGCGGGGGGGAAATGGAAGAGCATTTTGTGGTTTGAGTGAAGATGAGGATCGTGTGTGGAACAGAGCTGCAGCACGTTCCTTTTAAGGGCAGGAAGGGCTGTAGACTTGTGTTGGTTCAAAGACAATCCACCCACTACAGTATTTCAAGGTCCAACATTATGTCACCGTGTAGTAAAAAAAGAAAACACACTTTGCGTCAAGGTCTCCGTGTGTTCAAGCCATTTGTCCGTGCCACATGCAGTGCATGTGCAGCATTCGCTCATTGAGGGCGGCGATGTTCAATCAATGTGGACGAATGTAAGCAAAGTTTAATCAGTTTAATCAAAGTAACATCAACACACGTAGTTCTGCCAATGATTTGCCGATCAGATTGGAAGCAAAGTCTTGATTCTCAGCATTGTGCACCACTTTGTTGGTGTATAACTCTATAGACCAAGATCCCCCACCGGGAGGAATCACATGGAATCACTTATTCTCTTCAGGTTGCATGTTTGGGTTGTGCAAGGCACGTTTCTCCTTGTGCCCCAGCGTCTCCAAGTGTCTCCTTGTCAGGCAGAAATTCAGGGACGTGCATCAATTCTTGGAGGGAACTCGTGCATGTCACCAGTGCTTGGGACTCACCAGTGCTTGGGACGTGTTGACAGGTGTATGCACGAGCAGAAGAGATTTAGCCAGCCACCGAGTGGTCGTGGTCGTGGAGGGAACGGTCGGCGGAAGCTTCCGCCACACCATCCCGGGATGTCGTGGTAAAGAGACAATTTGGAATTGTCCTTGTTCCTTTTCACATTGAGTGGATGCAAAGTACTTCCTTGTTCAGTTGCCATGAAAACATATGTAAACTCCTTATCTACTCAATTCTCCCGACATTAGACCTGTGGATACCATCGAACCAATAGGACTACGACTACGAGATAGGGGATCGTCTTTTGTTTTTTCTTAAAGAACATTGGTAATCCAACTTGCTGAAGTTGTTGATATTTGACATTGGTGCTGAAGATGGTGAACTTGACAAGAACCAGCAATGTTGATTATCCACGGGAATATGAGAAGAGTTTCACACTTTAGAGCGCTTGCTCTTCTGCGAACAGATGCAAACAAATGTTGTTGAAGTCTGCTTAGAGATTGACACCTTGTGCCAACAAGGTAGCTCTAGTGACAGAAGGGATGGAATCCGTGTGACCTTTGCAGTACTATGGATTCCGGATTGACGCCATCCTCATTTCTTCAGGGGCAGGGCTTTCCGAATTTTCCCAAGTGGTCACGGGTAGCTGATGATCCAAAAGATCTCACAATAATTAACACTACCATGAAATCACGGTTTATGTTCCTTACTCGATGGCATTGTGAACTGTGAGATGTGTGGGTGTGTGTATCTGTAACCCTTGGACTCAGAGGGAGCCTGGTGGCCTTTGATTCATTTGCTGTTACTTTGTTTTGCCTTTACAAGCAGGGGGCAGAAGCACCATTGCAAGACTCCTGCCAAGAAAGACGCTTGCAATTGGTGGTGAAAGCAGACCTGATCAACCTGCTGCGTTTGCCACTTAATTCTCCCGTTGGTAACTAGATCAAATTGCATCAAATTGCAAGCCGTTGCGCCGGTTCCATCATTTTCGCAGATGCGCATTTGACTCTTTGGAGCTTTGACACTTGAACTTTGTTGGTTTGGAACTACTTTGAATGGTTGGACACTCGTTTACCCAAGAACCTTGTGTACCTAGGCGCTTGGGCATCTTGTGTGCGTCATATCCTGTTCCTAAGGGTCACGTACAGAACTTTAGTTCATTTGCACAAACCAGCAGCAGGGGGACTGGCGCTCTAGTTCGGTAATGTAGTCACTAGATCGTACAGGGCTAGTGCATCGGTGAGTCAGTGTTTGACCGAATGCTCATTCAGTTGACAGTGCATCTAAGTGTGTCTTCGTGGCATCGTCCCACTGTGGTGTGCCGTGTGATCCCTCCGGGCCGCGTACTTCAATCCTTCAATTGAAGGCTAAGATTTCTGATTGAATCGTTTTGTACTAGGGACCGGTTTCTGATCGAAGTGTCTTGCATGAAAGAGCTGAGCGAATACCGCAGGGTCCACGGTTTAATTTCACTCGCTTCTTAACCAAGTGTGTGCAGTTCATTAGCTGACTGAACTCATTGGAGCTGCTTTCCTTCCTTCTTTTGCGTTCTCTTTCTTAGGTCTTTTGTTCGTTGCTAAAGGCTTGTTAGGTTGTAATCCATGCCTTTTCAGTCAAGATTGCGCCGGATATATTCGGCTTTCTGGCCAAGTGCCTTACCCGTCAGGGCTTCCACACAACCCCACACGCACCTTTTTTCTCCTGCGTTTTCGTTTGTGAGGGCTTCCTCTCGAAGTTTGCTAGGTTGCTTTTTAGGCTCGTTTAGTCGATCCACCACAACCCCCCCGTCCCCAAGGGTCACCTACAGGATCATTTGCACAAACCAGCAGCAGGGGGACTGGAGTCAATTTGCCTATCCAGTCCAATGAAGCTATTGCATTTCTGTGGATGAGTGGTCTGATCAACCACTTGTACCTGTTTGTAAATTGCTGCACTTGCATGATATACATAGACAATACTGTTCAACGGACTTTTTCACCTTTCCGTTCCTCACAGGGCCATTTCGAAGGTCGAGGTATTAAGCTCTCTAGTTCGGTAATGCAGTCACTAGATCGTAGAGGGCTAGTGCATCGGTGATTCAGTGCTTGAACGAATGTTCATTCAGTTGAGCAGTGCGTCTAGGTGTGCGCGTGCGTGTGTTAAAATTACATGTTACATGCGGGAAGTTAACATGGAACCTGAAAATGAACCTTTGGAGGACCAGCTTCCTCCACAAACCAGTGGTTTTAAAGGTTTATGTTACAGAATCTTCCGAAGCGTACTTGTTTTTCCTTGGAGCATGGTTCCCTTTAGAGCCGAGGTGGAGAGGCACGCTGGTGCCGGAAGTCGCAGGTGGGGCTTTGGCGCGCAGAGCTGTGCCACAAGAGAAGCGCTGGAAGAAAGCCGAGCAAATGGTCACAAAGGAGTTCATTGTACACTTACACAGTCATTTGTTGCGGGGGTTTCAATGTTTATTTTTGCGTTCGATGTAGATCAAACTTTGTCAAACATTATGTCCTGCTCCAAGCCAAGTTAGGTTTCATTGCCACATCTCTTCAATTTACCTTGGAATTGTTGGTTAGCTGAGTTCAGAGCTTCAATCAAATTTAGTTTCTTGTGACTGAGCTACGTGCAGTTTGCGACCAGAGAGCGCGAGAGTAACATGAGAATGCTATGATAATGTTATGCAATGTTTTTCGTATACTGTAATTACTGTAGAGTACTGACACAAAGCGACACACAATACATCCACTCTTTGCCAAGATGGTTATCCTTGGAACCCTGTGCACTCTTTGCACCCCAGCTGTTCTGTGTACTGCAGTGTTTTAAAGTTTTATGGGCATCACTGCCATGCACAATGCGCAAATCTATCCTCCAACTGACTCTGGGAGATCCTCCATGTGACTCCCTCCCTCCTTCAGGCCTTCAAACCCGATCGTGCTCACTTCTGCCGAGCTATGGGTCGCGTGGTCGCGCGCCTCAGTGACGGACGTGACTCCAAGGGTAAGGGTGACTCCGAGGAGCTACCCAGGAAAAGTGGACAACCTGCAAAACATTGCAACACCTTGTTGTTCGATGTTTTTGTTGAGGGATTCCTTTCCTAACTCACTATGAACAAATTGAAAAAGGGCGAACAGTGGTTAACCATGATTTACATTGATTTACCATGATTAACCTCCACTTTCCAGGGACACTGAGGGCTGTCAAAGGGACCGGGACACGTGTAGACCAGGCCGTGCGCTTCGCACCATGGCCGATGGGTCGCCTGATGGGTCGCTTTTTGGACTCGCGTGTTACACGAGGTGCTTCGCATGGACCACCATTGCCCATGGCTTGGCAATACCGTGGGCTGGGCCAACCACAAATACTTCTACTTGTTCCTGGCCCGGAGGCCCTGTTCAGCTTGCGGTGCTTGGCATTTGATGTCACCTGAGAGTCTTTGGCATCCGGTGTCACCAGAGACCGTCTCGGGTGCCAAAAGTTTCAAAGCTTCAAACAGCCGGTTGGTGTAGTCATGTAATAGTCTAGTCGAGCTGAGTGCTGCACATCCATGAGAGAGTTGCTCCAAGCCCAAGATGCGCATCATCCAGTTTCACCCGAGATGCCAAGCTTCTTCAGCTCGCCAAAGCCGTAGTTCATGGATGTTCATGGTGCACTGAACAAAAACTGATTGTATCAAAGCACCAATCAGGAATCATCGTCTATGCCGTGTATTCCGGTGTTTGTGGTGATGGACATATAATATATATAATATATGCCGTTAGTTAGCTCGAAAAGAATACCGCGATCGAAAGCTGCAATCCCTGGCTGCAGCGGAGCAAAGCTCCTCTCAACCCTCGAACTCCAGTGACAGTGATAACTCCAGCTGAAAATTGTGTGTGTGTGTGTCTGTGTGTGTGCGCTCAACTGACTTCACAGCACGAGTTGTAAACATGATGACATGTGTCCTGCTACTAAAAAAGTCTGAACGAGATACTGTGACATGACCTCCTACTTAAGTAGTCTAAGCGAGATAGGGCCCCCACATAATAGATAGTGTTGGAGCTAGATACCAAATAAATTCCGCCGCACATATGGAAAGGGACCTGTGTAAGTGTATTCAGCAGGGCATGGCTGCTTCTCTTTCAGCGCCATGGCAGAGGTGATTTGTTGATCTGCTGATGATCCATTTCATTTGAGGTCACTTCCACTTGTGAACTCTTGTTCATGGATAACTCCTTCTTCATCTTGTTCATTGTTCCAATTGAAGGTGTTGCAGCCGTCATCAGGCCTGGTGGTTCCAGATGACTTTGGCGCTTACGTGAAGCTTAGTAAACCAGGGAGACACTGCAACGTTTGATGAAGCCCTGCAACTTCTTCTCTCTTGACCGGGATACGTGATCCAACAGATGGGAGCATGGTCCCAGCTGACACGTTTTCTTCCAATTCAAATTGGTCCCGGATCTCTTCCAACCGTCCATCACACCACCGTCACCGCCTCCGTCGATCCTTCGATCCTTCGATCCGAGGCCTACACGAACATGGCGTGCGGGATGCTTGGGCTGAACGTGCTGGACCTCTTGGTGCACGCAACCTTGCCGGTTTGAAGCCCCAGAGCAAGCATGTATAGCCATTATGTAGCTCATGGAAGTGCAATTGCTTTGAATAAAGCAACCAAGCAACCAAGAACTGAAGTGCCCTCTTTGCGTCGAATCATGGAAGGATCTGGAGGAGATGGAGCGGAACATAGCCCTTTCCGTTTTGCAAACAGTTGCTCTTCCATGCGTTTCCTCTTTCACGTTTGCTGGAGGGAGGCCTCAGTCCTTTCATGTGTTTGTATTTTCCATGACCTTTGAAGTGGTTGGCAGATCTTAGCAGATGTTGAGCTGCAGCTCTGCGGTGAATTTGTCGTGTTTTTTGGTTTGGGTGTTAACAGATTGACCTCCAAGCCTGAAGCAGCTTTGTAGGTCAAATTGGGATTCCCAGCCCAAACCAAAACAATGCAGGTGACGTTGGAGGAATTTTGGCAACCCTCATGATGATGATGATGATGATGTGATACGAAAGCTCATGATGATGTGAGTCGTTTGGTATTACAATAATCATATATATATATGTATATTAAAAGGTCATATGCCGACATCGTGACTGATTGATACAAAGTGCCATTTTGTCTTCAGGAGAATGGATATACCAAGGCTATACCCAAAGGCCCTCCTCCTCCGCCGCCTTGTGAAACCCCAGGCCCTGACCACCTTCCTGCTCATTGGCACTGAAGCATTGACGTTCCTCCTCTCCAGCATTCTGGTGCGTCTTCGGATGGAACGAGCGGTGGAACGATCGGTGGAACGACAGAGCAGAATGGTGGTCCAGCCCTGTGGTGTGCCAGACTTGTTCAGACCCTCAATCAGTCAGTGTTTGAGTCGAGCAGTTTCTGAAAGTTGCCGATTGGTCATGGTTCCAGTTTAGCTTAGAATTCCGTAGATGATAGGCAGATATACAGTAATCAACGCATATTATTTGTTCTTAGCACACCAGGGTTGCGAAATACGAAGTGACGTGGCCAAGTGACGTGTTATATTCTAGATCTTTGTAGATCATGAATCGGTATGTGATGTATTCAGCAAAACACTCTACCCATTGACCTTACCTCACAATAAGATATCGCTCTCTTTGTTTGTGAGGACGACGTTGACAGGCTGGCTGTGGCTGAGTTGCATCGGCAGGTTCCCTTTTTCCTCTTCCACACCTGGCTCATCATCCGCAACATGTCGTGGCCTCAAGGGTAGACTGCGGTCTGCTGAGACAGGAGGCGTGGTCCAAAACGACTGCGGTCCAAGGTTGGTGACTAGACTTGACTTGGTGAAACGAACCCCAAGCTTGGCGACGACTCGACCTGACAACAGTACTGCATGGTGAGCGAACCCGACAGAGTCGTGGGTACGTGTCGGTGCGGACAGGCTGTTGATTAGAGCTCCAAGCAGCGAACCTTCTCACTGGTTTTGACCAACACTATTGCTCAATTCCAGAGATGGAAACTGCCAATCCATTCAGAGAGCGAGCCTTGTTCAGACCCGATTGGCACAATCAATTTGTTGATGTCATTTGTAGTATTTGTCGCGTTGCTCAACACCTGGAAAATGAGCTGGGCAGGACATACACTGGTGGTGCAGAATGTTGTCCATCAGCAGTGTTATAAGGCAAAGCACACCTTTCTGAACAAAACACATATTACAGACTTGCGGACAGGAAAAAAAGCAACTCTTATTTCAGCAAAAAGACACTGGTTGTGGTGTTTACACGTGGCATGCGTGTTTTGTTTCTTCTCAGCCAACTCTTGGTCAACTCTGGTCGAAGACCAAGTACCTTCACCAACTCATTGGGTAACCCGCAGGTCGCCCAGAATGGCATCTATTTGGTAAGCAAACGCTAAGCGAACAAAAACCCATGAATAAGATACTGAGGCAATCGATGTTAAGTCGGATGAAGAACTTCCTTTGACCTTAGTGACACAACAGATGATTTTTTGTTTGGAGCATGTTCCGCCCATGGTGTGTTTTAAGTTCTTTGGAAGTAGCTGGTTTGGGTCAATGCCTCCAAACAGCGTACATACCGTAACCGTTTGCAGGGAATCAACAGACACTTTCTTGACAGCATGAATGGTGCGGTCATGCCGCAACGGCCAACCTCCTTTTCGAACCCCCAACGGGAACTTCCAGCAAGATGACATGTTACAATTAGCAAGATGGCTTCCAAGCTTGCCAAAGGAATCAAGGTAAGTTCTTCTTTGGGGAAGGTTTGAGGGGAAGATTGCCATTTTGATTGAATCTTGTTGCATGTCCTGCGCGTCGGTCATGAATCTTCCATATGCCCCTGGCGGACTCGTCAGGACCACCATCGAGTTCTGCGCCTCCTTTGCGCGTGGCCCCGATGAGAAGCCTCTCGGCGTGACAGCGTGACAGCCACCCGTCTCCGAAATGGGTTCAGCTTGGTGAACTTTCGAGAAGAAGCTGAAGCTAGGAAATGGAAAGAGAAAGATGAGTTCAACTCTTGGCATGGGCCTTTGAAGCTGAGTTCTCCAAGCTTTGGTTTGGCGAACTTTTGTGGTTTGTTTGATGATCATCATACTATAAGTGAAAAATGACTGCTACAATGCTCGCTCATGGCAATGGAGGCGGACGGGCCTCAATTGGAGTGATTACTTGGCAAAGGAGGTTGCCGCCGTTCGGCTCTGACCTGTGAGACCTCAGACGTCAAGTCACGTCCAACGGGATGTGCCCGCGGATTGGATGGTCGATGTTTGATGTCCACTTGCCGTTCGGGTGATGTTGGAGCCATCGAAAACCCACGCAACCATGGACCCCGGAAACATCTCGAAACACATCATCATCATCATCATCATCATCATCATCATCATCATCATCATCATCATCATCATC